CTCTCTTTTTAAGTTTTTCTCTTTATTATTCACTATTTTTATAATAGAGTTTTTGTTCAAAAAGTCAAAATGAATATAAAATAAGAGAATCAAATGAGTTGTGAAATAATTTTTGTTAATATAAAAATATTAAAATGTTGCTTTAAAAATCTTGGATATCCTATCTTATTTTATCATAAGTTATATATAAACAAAAACCATAAATTTTCTAGTTGAAGGAATTTCAACACAATTGTGTTAGTTGATGTATTAGTAATGATAAAGAGATAAGTCAAAATTCTTTAGAATACCTTTTAAATTCTACTTATTTTTTAACAGAACAGAAGTTTATACATTCTATTGTAATGAAAGAAGAATGGTTTGTTCCTTATAGAGACATAAAATAATTTTGAATCTCTTCATTTTCTTCGTACATAAAAGCCTCATTTTGACAAATAATGAATTCATTTATTTTCATTGCAGATAACCTTAGTCTATTAATGTTTAAATGGTCTCCCAAATGAACATTAATTTCTTGAAGACTAATCATATCTTTCATCCACAAAGAAAAAACAATAATTCTTGCTTCTGTAGGAGGTATAATTTTTAAACGATTTCGGTAAATGGCATTATTTTTGTCGATAGAAAAGAGAGAATAAAGTTTGTTATATTCTTCTTTTCTTTCTTTTCTTAAAGACTTAAATTGTTCACTAAGATCAATAGACCTTCTAACAAGAACAGAAAAAATCAAATGAGCCATATTCATTTCGTTAATATCAGAACAACAACATCCCAATTTAATAACTTTTTCTAATGACTTTTTATCTTTTGTAATATCAAGGAAAAATTCTTCAATTCTCTGAAGATTCTCAACATATTGTTGAACACTTTTACACTTATCAACTTGTTCTTTTGCTAAATCATATTTTTCAACTCTTTTAATGAGTTTTTGATCAAATAAAGCTAATTGACGTGCAATAACACTAGACTTTTCTTTAAATAAAAAGAACGTATCTTCATATTGTTGAGTTATTTGAATAGATGGAGTACCTTTCTCTTCTTCTTCCTCTTCTTGTTTAGGGTGAGGCCCAGTTTCACTTAGTCTAAGACTTGTAGCCATTCCCCTTCTTAATTTGTAAGATCTTCTTGAAGAATAAAGACTATTTGATCTTACAGTTGCAAATTCTTCAAGGGCACTCATTTTTTCTGGGAGTGAAGGTAGTCTAAGAGCTCCCCTAATTTCATTAACAAGAACCCTTGGTGTGTTATTTGTTGTAAATATTTCTGTCATTTGTTTTTGAATTTTAGCAGGTATTTTTGTATAGCACCGTGGGGCTGACAATGCAATGTCTCTTATTTTTTGTAATTTCTTAAGTCGTTCTTCATCAAGTCTTGGATTATTATCACAATACATTTGTTCTATTTGTAAATGGTCAACAATGAACTCAAGGGTTGTAAATAAAGGAGCTACATAAACAAATATTGAAGTTAGGTAGTCAGGTAAAAAAGGGTCTAAGGCTAATGACCATAATTCTTCAGAAGAACATTCTACAATCCTTCCATCTGAGTCAAATAAAGGATCTCCTTCTAATTGAAAAAGAGTAGATTGGTTTTGAATTATATCATCCAGAAAAGCTTTACAATTATCGTCATGAATATTTTCATCTGAAAAAGTGAGGATTAATAATTGTTCTTTAGTAATTTTATTTTTGAGAATATCACTACAGAATTTTTGAAGAATTCTTCTTTTTTCCGGCTCTAAATGGAATAAAGCAACTCTTCTTTGTTTTACAAAAATATAATCTAAGTTAGAAATAAGTTGGTACGAATGGTTTTTAAATTCTTTTATTAATTGTTCAGGTTGGTATGACTCCTCTGTTATAATGTTTTCCATTGTTTGTCCAAATGCACTTGTACTACAAATAAAACCTGTTCTTGGCTTCTTTGGAGTAAAAGAAGTTCTTGAAGACAAAAATCCAGGTCTTATACTTCTTGGAGAATGTGGAGATAATTCTCTGATACAAGTTTCTGCTATTCCTTCAAGTTTTTTTGCAAAGCTTACTCTTTTCTTTGAAGGTATAGGAGAGGGTTGAATGACACATGGTTGATTTGACATAATGATTTAAATAATAAAAGTTTAAACCACATATTTTGCAAAACAAACGCTTTTTTTTTTCTTTTTATTTAATAATAGTTTTTTTGAAATTTAATATAACAATTGAATGACAAAACTAAATTTTTGTTTTACATATTTAACAAAAACATTTTAAAGAAAAAATATTTTTTAAGTTGCCAAAAATGGAAACAAGTTTTAAGTTCTAAAAAATGAGTCATATTAAAATTATAGTAAAATTATAAACTATCTTGTTGAATTGAAATAATAAACTGACAAATGAAATAATGTATTGTCAATTTTACAAGAATAGTAGAAATTTAGAATTTTGTGTTATTTTAGAAAACTGTTAATTTGATTGATGTTAGATTTTTGTGTCATAAGATAAAACAATAATTTATAATAAACCGATAAAATTTATAGTTTTCTATTATTAGTAAGAGGTACTTTATGTTTTAATCGACAGTAAGATAAAAGCAACAATTAATAAAAAGAAAATGAAGAAAAGAAGTTTTAAAAAGAAAGTAAAAAAAACTTAAATTTTTCATTTTTTGTAGAAAAAGTGATGGAGAATTTCGTTTCGTTTTATGATTGTCCGAGAAAGTTTCATGTTCCTAATGTAGATACTTATAAACAGCTTGGTCATTACTGTAATAAAATTAGTTGTAAAATTAGTTCAATAGGAGAAAAATTAAAGAATTGGAAGAAACGTGATAACTTTACAAAAAGAAAGTTATTAATCAAATTTGATAACTCCTTAAGATTAGTTTCATTAGTTTTAAAAAAACCAATAAAGCCTGAGTTTGGTGAGAACCAAGTTGTGTTAGGAACTGCACTAATTAAAATTTGGGATACATCGTTAGAAGTTATTAAAGTATTAAGTGCACATGAAATAGCGGAATCAATGTATAAAATCATATTAAATATAATGAATAGAACGGAATTTCAACCACATCATACTGTTATAGTTGATATTGCTGCAAGTTCAGAAATTAATTGTTTGGCTGAAAATTACCGTAAAATGTTATATGCAACATATTTTCATATTTCCGATATTTATGAAAGTTATGAAGACTTATTAATGGCGTCATTTAGAGTTGAAATGACAGATGATCCTATGCAACTTACTACAGAACTTCCAGAAGAAGATGCTATGGATAGTGCATCTGCGTTTAATACTCAAGACAAACCGAAACCATTTCCTTTTCATGCACAAGAGGGAATTGAATCAGTTCCAATTATGACAAAAATTTTATTTGGACTTGTTGACAAAAAAAAAGAAGTAAAAAAGTTAATAAAAGAAAAAGAAAAAGACAAGAAAAAGAAAATCAGAAAAGATAAAGACAAGGTTGTTCCTAATGAACCTACATCACTTCCTGAAGATTCTTATTTCATTCAAAGTGGTCTTTCTGCTCATTTCTTACGTTTTGCACCTTGTGCATTAGTAATGTTATTTTTCCAATTACCTAATTTTCAAGAATTATTTCTTGACCATATCAGTTATTTTCCTGATTCAAATAACGTATTCTTATCTGTAAGTAATGAAGAACTTGAAACTGCAGAAAAGCACTTTCCTCGATTATTTTCTTGGAAGTCATTTCATAATTATATTAAAGAATTATCTATTGACGAACAAGAAAGTTTATTTGACCAATGTGGAGATACTTGGCTCGAACTTTATCATCCAGGAAATGATATTTTTCTTTCATTCTATTCACATCTTGTTGACTCTTTATACTTCTCATTTCTCACTTATCCGATTACATGGGCTGCAGTTCCTGGGTTTGTAGAAATAACTAACGTGTATTTATCAGAATTCTTTCCTCCAAAAAGAAGACATAATTTAGCTGCTCATAAGAAAACGTTAAAACATTTAGCATTCCTTTCTCCTTATTACTTATCTGCAATTTCTGGTCTTTTATTAAAAAATGTTAATATATTTGACTTTGGTCAAGTTCTTGATATTTTGTCATTAATAGCAAAATTACATGAAGGATTTGCACAACATAATGAAATACCAAGTAGTGTTGCATATGCCCTTCTACACCCACTTGATTCAGATGATTCTTCAGATGATATAATGAAACCACAAACTGATGATAAATTTCTTGATATTGACTCAGAACATCCTGCTGATTGTACTATTTCTGCTGAAGAATTAATGATATTATTAGAGGGATTAATTAATTCTGATAATTGTTCAGTAATATTATCTGTATTAAACTTATTATTTTATTTAATGAATATATGTTGTATGTCTGCACGTACGATCATTTTAAAAATATTACTCAATAATTGGTTTAATCTCCTTTTCCTTCATTGGTCTTCAGATGTTAGAAAAGGATTTGTTCATTTATTACTCTATAGAGGTACTGTAAATAGAAGATCTCATCTGAACTGGGACAAATTCTCAAAAGAAGAGTCTAAAATCAATTCTAAAATATTACATGACCTTAATATTGATCTAAAAGAATTTGATCGGTTTGTTTTTTATTCACTTAATCTTTAGATTAACAACTATTCACCATTTTATTAGTACTTTCATCTTAAATTTAGAAATGAAAATCAAAGACTTACATGACAACACTCAAAATGAAAATGGTATTATTCCACCACGTAAGAAAAATTATGTTGATGCTGCCCTTAAAGAATATAATGTAGCACTAAAACAATACCTTTTATGGGATAAGAAAAATATCCAAGAAGTACCACCTATAAAAACAGATGTCTATTTACTTGATGACTCTTATTAAGAACTAGTCCAGGTTCTGTGTAACTCTAAATAACATTAATCATTATTTTTATTGTTTTATAAAATAAAATAAGAATTATTAAAAACAAATAAGATTTGATGACAATTATCTCATTTCTTAGTAGAGATTAACTTATAGAATATATTGTATAATTAGGATATTTTTGATGAAGTTCCAGCAATATATGTTCTTGTTCTTTTTCATAACCACCATTTGGATAAACAAATTTTAAATAGGATTTAATGGCTTCAATAACTTTATAAAAACATTGATCCAATAATGTTTGAGAAGCTTTGTTAGAATACAATTCTCCAAAACAATCTATATGTTTCATATAATTATTTTTTAATTCCATTTGTCTTTCTTTCATCTTTTTCAGTCGAAGACTTTCAATTCTTTCATGATTATCATGAATGATACAATTACATTCTGTAGACGTACAAGCAATATGTATGTCTCGAACATTTTCTTGAGTTTTTTCATAATCAATATTATTAAAAACATCTTTTACTGCATGGGCATGAATAAAAGTATTTGCTAATCGAATAGCATCTGAGTCAATAATTTGTACTTCTTTTTCTATTTCTTCAAAAGTTTTATTTTCAAAATCATTATTAAAATTATTTATCCTTTTCATTAATAAGTTATAATCTTCAAGATATTTTTGGGCTTTATCTCTTTCTAGATATTTCTGGTCTTTTGACAATTTACAAGACTTTTTACATTTTGGCAGCATTGGGTTACACTCTCTTTTGTTAATAGTTTTAGAACCAATCTCATTTTTTGTGTCGTTATTTGATGGGGTTTTACTGTGATTGTTTCCCATAGCTATTGAAGATATGGAATGGTAATTAAATAATTACTTGTATTGTGTTTTTATATAGCAAAGAAGTCATGCAAAAAAAGAAAATGTCCTTTTTTAAGAATTATATTCTTACGAATAGGAAGTATATGGTGATTAATCTATCAATTAGAAGGGTATGATATGTTCTAAACTAGCTTGTTTTTTTTTGTTATAAGATGTTTTTATTTTAAAAAAGAAACTGATGTATTTTTTTTTGGAAATAACAATAAAGCTGAAAAATAGTAAAAATTAGAAAATGTCACATATTAGGATTTGTTTTAATTAGTTTTGGTTTATCTTTTTTACAATTCTTTCTATATGTTCTTTCGTTTCTATAGTTATTAAATGGTCAAACCCAATTGTTTGTTTCACTTCTTTTATAACATCTACTTTATCATCAGAATTTATAAGTAAAGAAAGGTATTTAACTACATTTATTCGTAGTATGTTATTTGTTGGATTTTCTTTACATACTTCTACAATATTTTCAATGTATTGTTTCTTTGTTTGTGAAACAAACTCTAATACGATTAGATATTTTTGATTTATCCTTTAAATAATGATGCAGTCTTAAAAACAATCAACAAACCTTCTGGAGTCATAAGAATAATTGATAGTAGTGGTTGTAAAATAAATGCTGATTTTGATTTTAATAAAATAACTGTATTTTTATTGTATTTATGAATTAAATCAATAATCTCTTGATTTGACAATTTGTTTGATATAATTGAAAAGAGTGTTAAAAGTGAAGATAAATAATTCTCAGACAAATTTTCTGTTCTTTTTTTTGATATTAAGGAGATAATTTCTCTTGCTTCGTTTATTCCTAAATAATCAGATATTTGTTGATTTTGACAAAGACTAACAATAGAATTCATTATTTCATCATCCCTTTCTTTTAATCCCCTTTCTAGAATATTTATAATAACTTCTTTTGTTAAAATTAATGTAATATTTTGATGATGAAGATGATGCTGAAGAATGTGAAGATAAATACGATATAGTGATATATCTGAATTAATGAAAACTCTCATATCTTCAATAAAATCAATTGTCAAATACATACCATCATTTTTACTTACTTCAAACAATATATTCAATATTTCCTCTTGTACTGTTTTTTCTTTTGAATTAATTAATGAACGAATATCAACAGATAATATCATCATCGGAATGAACGTTTGATCAATTAACAAATGATTTAAAATAATACAACAACTTTTATTATCTTTAATATGTTCAAAAAGAATATTAAGAAGAAAAGTATTTGATGTAACAATTAATCTACAATCAGCAAATAAGAGAAATGGAATAATTACTTCAAAATATGAACATTTTTGAAGAATAAATTGAATAATTCCTTCAAAAGAAGGAATTAATGAATAAATAAAGTCAATGCATTGAGCTGATTGTTTAATTAATTCAAAGAATTGTATTAAACAATCATCTGAGTATTGTAATATTTGTAATAAAAGTGTATTGAATGAAACAGTTAATGTGAGTGATTCTAATTCTTGTGGCTTTAATTTTTGAAGGAAACTAATAAAGTTATTAATGTCTTTTGTATCAAGATTTGGCAAATAATTAATACAACTCTTAATGAATTGTGTTAGGTTTTTTGTAGATAACAATGGAATCCAATTTACAAGTTGTAATACTTTTGGTATATTCTTTGTTTCTGTTAAGAAAAGTATATCTTCAATGATAGTATTTGATAACAACTTTAATAATGTAGGTTTAATTGTTTCATTAGTGTTTATCTGATCTATAACCAATGAATAGACTAATTCATTTAGAAAAGACTTTTGTAATAATTGTTCAAAGATCTCAACATTTAACGAATTAATAAATAATTCTTCTTCTTTCATCAAAACCTTCATTAATTCAGTAGCATAATCACTACAATCTTTGTCATCAATTAAATTACATAAAACTGAAATAACATTAGTCTTATCTACTGCTTTTTCTAATGGACTATTTAAAAAAATTAATGTTCTAATTAAATATAATATTGTTGTATTTGTTAACCCATTAAATCGAACATTTCCAAGATAATAAAATAATCGAGGAATAATTCCACTATAATCAATAGAATTAATACCAATTTCAAAAAATGTTATAAGAAGTTCAAGTGAACTTTTAAGTAATTCATTAGATATAGTTGGTAAAGAATTAGGATTAAAAACCATTAGTAATATTACAAAAATACGAGATCTCTTAAAGGCTTCTACTTCTCGTTTATGAAGAAGACAAGTCCTAACAAAATCAAATGAAATAGCTGTAAATTGTTGGTCAGGAAGATTGTCAATTCCTTTAAATAATTCAATAAATAAATTTGGATTTGATTTAATTAATACAGAGTAGTCATGACCATTTTCAATAAATGAAATAGCAAGTTTCATTACTGCTACTTTGATATTAAAATTATTAGAAGCTAACATTTTCATTATTGTCTGAAACAAAGTTTCACTTCCATAAGCCGTTGAAACAAAACGATCTCTAAGATATCTAGAGTGATTACATATTGCTCCACATAATTCAATAAATGGTACTAGAGCTGATTCATTAATAGTTGGGAAATATTTAATAAATGAAATAAAAGATGATAATGCACAACTGAGAAATACTTGATCTTTGCAATGAGTTTGGAAGAGATTTTTAATAAATGGAAATACATATTCTAATGGGACTTTTGCATGATGAAATTGCATTATTTGAGATAACAACCCTTCTTGATTAAGAATATTTCTAATAAGAATAATAGCGTAACGTGAATTATTTGTTAGTGCTGTTAATAATTGGAATGTAAGGAAATCAGATAAATTATCTTCATTAAATAATACCATTAATCTATTGAAATTACCACAATGCCTTTCAAAAATATCTTGTTGAATTCTTTTATTACTTGCTAGTTGAACGAAAAAAGGAAGAGACTGATGAATATTTTGTTTATTTTCAATAGCAATACATAAAAAACAAATAAAGTCATTGTCTATTAAAAATTGAACAAATAATTCTTTAATTTCTGAATGAAAATAAATATGAGTCAATGCTATATATAATAATAACTCTTGACAATTATTTAATCTACATAATTCTAGTATTGTGTTCAAAATACCACGTGCCTCTAAAATTTCAAATGCTTCGGTTCCATGTATTTGAATTAAATAATCTAAAACAATAACACCTTGATCTCTTTTTTCTCTACTCCCAGAATTAAGCATTAGTTCTACTAAATCAATGTGCTCTGTTAATATTAATTCAGTTGTTGTTTTACCGTCTACTCCTTTATAAGTAAGTATTGATTCAATTAATTTAACTGAAATAGTTTCATTATCTTTTTCACATTTAAGAAGTTCAGAAAATAAATCTAAATTACTCAGTAAGTGATTATAAAATTTATCATTGTCACTTATCCGTGTTAATACCACATCAACAATATCTGCAAATTCTTCTGTTTGAACAAATTTGAGTACATAAGTAATCTTTTCAATAAGACTTAAATTAATAGCAATCTCCATTAATGATTGAGTTGTTATCATTTCTAATAATAATGGTAATACAATCATACAACTAATACAGTCAAAACATTTCATCACTTCTTGAAGACAATCTTTAGTAACATCAAATGGTCTTGTTTTAAATGTTTGTTTAAATAATGAAAATGAAAGTAAAAGAACTTCTTTTTCATCTTCACTACCTTTTTGATATAATTTACAAATTCCAAGAAGATTTGTCTCATTAATAAAATCATGTTGTAACATAGTAACATACTTTCCAAGTGTATTTTCACGTTCACACCAAAATACACAATAATTTTCTTCATATTCATTTTTAACCATCTTTAAAGCATCTTTCATTTCTTTAATTGTTTCATGTGGTTTAAATAAATAATTTTTTAAACAACTCATCATAATTTCACTTATAATAAATGTTGCATTACTTAAAAATTCTATTGAATCAAGATAATTAATTGCTTTAAATAAATAACTAAATCCATCTTTATCAAAGAACATTTTTAGATCAATATTTCTTTTTAATCCCTCCTTTATAATTTCTGATAGAAGTAATGATGAAGTTAAATCTTGTAATGGTTTAATCATATATGGTATTAATCCACTCTTAACAATAAATTCATAATCAACACCATTGTTGTTCCATAATTTTGAAAACTCTTTAAAGGCAACTTGTCTTGTCATTGGTTCATCACTTAAAAATAATTGAACTATCTTTGGTAGACAAGGAATATGTGGTTTTAATTGCGATATTTTTCCTTTATTTGTTTGGTATGGATAATAACATGCAAAACATAATCGAATTTCTTTCTTAGTAGTACCTTCTACAGAATAAAGACATTCGCCACAAAGAAAACGATGACAACAAGCACATTTTGTTCTTTTCTTTAACAACAAAAAATTACTTTTATCTTTGCCACACCGTGGACAAACAGAAAAATCAGTTTGTTGTTGATTAGGTAATAAAGAAGTTACTAATTCTAAATTCATTGTTAAAGTAGAGACATAAAAGTTCTAAGTTTTTAAACTAACATCTTTTTAGTTTTAAAAAGATTTTGTTTCTTTCATTTACTACAGAAATATTTCTTATCAAAAAAAATATTTAAACATCTAAAAACTAATTGTGAAATTGGATAATAATTATTTCATTTAAATTTAATTATTCAATATTAAATATTGGAGAATTGGAGACGTCCGGTGAAAACCTCGCGTACTATGGAACTCCTAACTTCTAGCCGCACTGTTAAATTATGTTCTATTTCATAATCTTCCACCACAAGACTTTATCGAAAACCGATATTATCTTGTTGTGCTGCAAATAATATAATTTTAAAAGTTTTAAACCCTTTTTATTTACTAATTTTAATAAATATTATATTTAATAATATCTTTATTATACTTTT